GCCTCAGAGAGATCACTCTTGCTGACATTTTGCTCTTGGATGTCTAGCCTCCAGAGCTGTGAGAAAATAAATTTCTGTTTGTTGAGGCTAATATGGCAGCCCTAGAAAACTAACACTGCCAAGGTTCTTGTTCCAGCATTAAGAAGCGTTCAGCAATCTACAGAAAGGCTGTGTGTAACTTAAGTAAGAGTGCAGAGATGAAAGATAATTTTGAAAGGCATTGGGAGAGTCAGAGGAGCCTAGCTGAAGGAGCTATGTTCTCCTTGTCTCAGGACCCCTTGCTTTTTATTAACACAATTTGTTCTAAGGCAAGGTGTAGATATACACTTCAAAGAGTAGGGTTTCCTTTGTCCATTGTCAGATTGGGGAATAGCCTATGGCTGTTTAGGTGTTTGGCCAGTAGGAGGCAATAACATGTAGATTAAGATGTCCTGAGCTGTCTGGCAGCAAAATATCATTTTAATGCATCCTTTACAGGTTTGGGAAAATGCCTTTAGCCGTTCCAACAGGCGATAATATATATAACTCAGCCCTTATTGAGTCCCCAAGTTTCATCACCCTTTTGATGAAACTCTTGCAATTATGACATGCTGGAATTGGCTTCCAGCATAACACATCACCTTTGATTATACTGTCATGTGCCCCATAATGGTGTTTCAGTCAATGACAAACTGTATAATATGATTACTAGAGGCCTGGTACATGAATTCATGCAGGAGTGGGCCCACCCCAATCGCACTGATCGGACCAACAGGAGGGCCTGTGAGTGGTTGGCCAGCTGGTCCCACCCTCTGGTCAAACTCCTGGTTGAACTCCCTGTCAAGGGGACAATTTGCATATCAGCCTTTTATTTTATAGGATAGCCCCATAGTGGTAATGAAGCTGAAAGAATGTTATTGCCTGGTTATGTTTTAACTATCATATCCTCATAGCACAATGCATTCCTTACATGTTTGTGGTGATACTGATGGAAACAAACATGCTGTGTGGCCAACTATATAAAAAGTATAGCACATGCAATCACAGTCATAGGCTAGAGCATCTAGCTGTGTGTAAGTGCACTCAATGATAGTCACACAATGATGAAATTGCTTAACAATGCATTTCTCAGAGACTATCCTCTTGTTAAGTAGTGCATGACTATACTATCCAAAGCACAATCAGTACATCTGGGTGATCATGCTTTCCTGTGTCAATGTCCTTACACTAGCTCTTAGATAGTTCTTGTTACTCATTCCTTACACATTAAGGATGTGGCTACAATAACCAAGAATGTGGATGGAGGGTTAAAAATAGGATAACAGCCTTAAACTCTACATTCCAAGATTAATTCTATAAATGAAATCTTTCTTCTGTTTTTAAAAAAAAGATGTGCCTACTAAGGAAACAACCTATATATTTTTTTATTTCTCTGCAGGGTATTGGTATAACCAACCAGAAGGATAGTTCATCCCTCCCAGTGAACAGCAGCCAAACACTGAACACCAAGATGCAGTGGAGAAATTAAAATCTATTGCTAGGTGCCATGCAAAGAAATTTGGGAAGCTATTGCTCAAAATTCAGGTATTTTTGGAGTTAGGAGAAACAGGTAAGTGGAAGTGCGGGCAGGGCAGGCTTGAATTGGAGAAACGTGGAACTTGACCATTTATTGTAAGGGGCTTCAGCGCCAGATCTTCCTGAGGGATTCTGGTGTTGATCCTTTGGGTCCATGGGGATGGGTGAGACTTGGATTCCTGGTACAGCTGGAGGATGGGGTAGCACATGCGCAGCACTGTCTCTGCAAAATGATTCAAGGATTGTATTAATCACCTTTGCTTTAAGGGAACAGAACCAGTTTCGCTGGGTCAGCTGGCAATGCTAATTCATGAAAGAGATAGTGGTTTTATGCTGAGGATTTAGCATAACCACATAGAACCAAACCAACAAAATCGTTCCCTTTATCATGTCTTACTTTATTTAAGCCACGTTAGAAGCCACAAGTGTATATCTGGTTATTCAGTGCTTTGAAGATTAGTTTCAATATTTTAGATTTAAAAGAATAATAATTTGGACTCCTTTCATTCTCAGTTCATCTACTGCACTTTGTGCTTTTTTAAGTCTAATGTAAGAATATCAATTTTTATCCTTCATCAACCCTCCCATCCCACTCTGTAGTGTTTTAAAGTAACACACTACTTTAAGCCATGGCTCCCCTGAGGGTCTGATTGGAAAAGAAAGGGATCAGTGACTCAGAATGTTTGCTTCAGCTGGACAACAGCTGCTGGACAAATTTCCCTGCAGGGCCCAGGCACATACTATGCACTAAGGCTGTCCTCTGGGTCATTGTTACCTCTATGCTGACAGCCTACATTAGCTAATGCCCAGACTAGTGAGGGGGAGCAGGGTTTGCAACTCCAAGATATGCATTTTTTGGAATATTGATTATTTTAAGATTGTTATTTTTAAGAAAGAAAAGACTCAGGAAGAACCTCTGACTAACTGCCTAAAAGAATTGAGATGGAGGATACCCTGTTTTCCCGAAAATAAGACATCCTCCAGAAATAAGACCTAGCGCATGGAAAGATAAGACATCCCCTGAAAATAAGACCTAGCGCAACTTTGGGAGAAAAAATTAATACAAGACACTGTCTTATTTTTGGGGAAACAAAGTAGATAACTACCTCATAGATAATGGTAGTTTCATATGAACTAGGTGTGATGGACTGGAGGGAACCTATCAAGACACCTTTGGTTAAAGTCTTCTCTGGGACCCATTATTAAAGATAGGCTAGCAGACATTTGTTTACCAAACATTTGTTTCTCCATCTCCAAGTGAACTACCTTCCTGCCTTTCGAAGCCTAAACCACTAGCCCCCTTTCTCCTTAGCTCAAGGTTGCATATAAACTTTAACCGTCTGATTGGTCCTTGGATCCCTTATTCTTACAAAACCCTCATGTGTACATATATAATAAATTTGGTTATCTGCTCCTGTTAATCTATCTCATGTCAATTTTATTATTAGACCAGAGAGAAGCATTAGGAGAGAAAATTCTCCCCACCCCCCAACACTAGTCCGTCTTTTGAATTCAGCAGTAAAAATCCCACCTAAACAAAAATGATGTTCAGGAAGGAAAACCAAGAGTGGGTAGGGCTTCCAGAGAAGGAGTCAGTGGCTTAGAGCAGCGTTTTTCAACTGCTGTTCCGCGGCACAGATGTTGCCTGGTGTGCCGTAGGTGCAGACAAGACAAGAATTTTATAATTTTTCACTATTTTGTTTACTTAATATTTCATAATAAAGTAATTATAAAATACTTTCTTTGTGTTTATTTGATTCCTATTCAAGAGAACTACTTTATATATAGTCAATATAGGCACAAAGTTAAATTTTTTAACATTTTCTAATGGTGGTGTGCCTCGTGATTTTTTTCATGAAACAAGTGTGCCTTTGCCCAAAAAAGGTTGAAAAACACTGGCTTAGAGAACAGGATGATCTCTGGACTGACCTTCTCATCCAATACCTGGCCCGTCGCTGCTGCCTGTGGATTTTTACAGGCAGCAGGGGGAGCTTCTGGCAAAATTTTGAAAGAAGCATTTATTTATTTTTTTTCTCTGTTAAATACACTCTTACCCATTTGGTAGTTCTCATCCCAGGTATCTGCCCCTGGTGATATGTCTAACCCAGACCTCGCTAACTCTGCGACATCGAAATTCAGACATCAGTTGAAAGAAAGTTAACCTTTCAAAACCAGAGTAGTTGTGCCTCTGAGCACCTGCTATTACCTTGCATATTGCACATCCTGAGAAGGCTCCTGTGCCCAATACCTGCATTGCTTTATTCAACCTCTGCAATTGAAGACGTCGATTCTGTTTTCAACCCCGTTGGGGGAAGGAGGGTGTGGAATTGCACAAGGTGGTTAAGTCACAGAGGAGTGACCCCCAGTGGAGATATTTTTCATCTCTGTTACCCACATACTTTTTGAAATGGGGAAGGGTGGAGTGTTTTAAAGTAACCCAGGTGAGTATTTGATATGAATATCTGATATTTCCCCTTTTTCTGAATGTATTTCTAACAGACAAGAACTTTAAAAGAAAACAATCACAGACTGATACCACCTCTAATAATATTAAGATGAGTTCTTCAATATCATCTAATGCCTAGTCCACAATTGTTTTTAATGTCTGTATAAATCACATGTATAAGCCATGATTTATTTAATAAATTCAAAATTAAAGGACATTTACTTTCTAACTTAGGGCTATTATAAACAACATTATTTTTAAGGACCTTGTAACTAAATCTTGACAGAATTCTTTAGCATTTTCTTTCTTTTTTTTAATATATATTTTATTGATTTTTTACAGAAAGGAAGGGCGAGAGTTAGAGAGCCATAAACATCGATGAGAGAGAAACATCGACCAGCTGCCTCTTGCACACCCCCCACCGGGGATGTGCCCACAACCAATGTACATGCCCTTGACTGGAATCGAACCTGGGACCTTTCAGTCCACAGACGGATGCTCTACCACTGAGCCAAACCGGTTTCGGCAGAATTCCTTAGCATTTTCCTCATGATAAATTCCCAGAGATAAAACTGCTGTTGCAAAGGTTATGCTTATTTTGAAAATGTGTATAATATATGTAACTGAGAGACTCATTTCCAGAAAGATTCAATCAATTTGCCAAACCATCATCAATCTCATCCTCTGCATCTTCATCAAGACTGAATATTAATCTCTAGTAGTTATTTTTTGGACCATTATGATAGCTGAAAATGAATTGCGTTGAACTTGTATTTCAATACTACCTGGAGGCAAGTCACTCTAATATGTTCACTGGCCATCTGTATTTCCTACTTAGTAAATCACCTGCCTATACATTTTGTCTATTTTGAAAGGAGTCTCCATATTTTTCTTAAATTGTAAAGGCTCTGTCATAGTAAGGTGTTCATCTTTTATTTATGTTGTGAATACATTCCTAGTTTATTTGTTTCTAAAATGTTGATTTTATTTTTTGTTTTAGGACATTCACTGCCATCAATCTTTCACTTTATGCGTGCTAGGGATCATTTTTATAAAATCCTTTCTCAACATAAGACCTAAGGTGATACAGTTATATATATATATATATATATATATATATATATATATATATATATATTATTCTAGTATTTTATTTACAAGTTTATCATCATTAACTTGGGAAGGCCTTACTTATATAAAATGCAACTGACATGTAATTTTATTGTTTTATATGTCTTTATCCAATTTTCAAGATTATATATATTTATCAATTATATCTATTTCTAGATAGAATACATGTGTATATAAAAATTACATATATCTCCTGCCCCCATGGTTGTTTAACTTCCCATGCCCAGCTCAAATTGGGACTTGGGTAACAGACAGAGACTTGGCTGACAGAAGCTGCCCTTTCACTACAACAAGACTTGTTTGAGTTATCTTGTACTCATGGTGTGGGGAAGTGGGTTTTTGATAACTAAATCCAGCCTACCACCAGGAATGTTCAGGGCCTACCAAGAAGGCAAATAATCCTTTCCACAAATATTTATAGGGTAAAATAAGATTGTTATTAGAGTAATAAATTTGACAGTAAAATAGTAGACAAGTTTTCAGGCTAATTTAAATTGGTTCATTGAAATAAGCGAATATTCTAGAAAAATTGATTGTACTGGACAAAAAGTAGTTCCTAAAGTGTTAACTAAAATTTTTATTGGTTGTTCATCTCATGATAAATTGCATCACATGTAATGAACCTAACGCAGTCATATTATAGTGCAAAAAATTAAAGTTTAAAAGCTATCAAGACTACATTATAAAATTTTCAAAAAGTTCCTAATATTTAAATCAAAAAAATGGTGAGTAGTAGAAGAATATCATGTAAGGAAAAATATCCTGTAAGTAAATTACATCTAGAAAATTTGTACTTTAGAAAGTTAATTGTAATGCTAAAAACAAGACACCCATGAAAAACATACATAGTGTCAAAACAAGCCAGAGGAAAATCATTTGGGCAAAAAATGAAAAAGGATCCCAAGTCTAATTTATAGAAAATATTACTTTATTAACTTTTTGTTGAGAATATGTTTGTATAGTTTTAGAAAACAACTCTGAGACCATGTGGATTTGGCAACAGAGAGGAATTGACAGGACTACTCCAGCCATGAAGACAGAAGAGAAGCAGTCCAGAGATGGAAGACACTGACATCACCTTCCTAGCAGTCAACAGCTGTGTGTCACTGCAGATTGCCAGGACCAAACCAGCGAGGGTCGGACTTGCATTACCACCATTTGTCCACCATCAGTAAAAACATCATTGCTGACATGTACACATAAGGAACTGTTTGACATTGAAATTGGGTCTTAAAAGTACTGTTGGCCAAGAAAGAAACTCAAAATAAATAAATTAATTAATTAATTAATTAATTGAAGTGAAATAAATAAATAAATAAATAAAATTACATATATAGTCCTTGCCAGTTTGGCTTAGTGGGTAGAGCATCAGTCTGCTGGGTTCAATTCAGTCAAGGGCACATACCTTGGTTGTGGGCTCCTCCCTGGCCTTGGCCTTGGTCAGGTGCATTCCCTCTCTTTCACTCTACCAAAAAATCAATGGAAAACATCCTGATGTGAGGATTAACAAAATACATACATATATACATACATACATAAATATTACATACTAGAGGCCTGGTGTATGGATTTGTGCACTGCTCGGGGTCACTCAGCCTGGCCTGTGCCCTCTCTCAATCTGAAACCCCTCAAAGGATTTAATAGTGAGCAAAAGGGCAGGCAGCCAGGAAGTAGCCCAGGCCAGGTGCCACATCGCTCCCACTCATCCCAGCTCTACTGCACCTGCCATCACCCAGTAGCACTACTGCTGAGATGGGAGAGGCTTGCACCATCTCAGCTGTTCTCACCAGCTGTGAGCCTGGAGTCTGGCACCCATAAGTCAGCTGAGCCGTGTTCCCGCTGTGGGAGCACACTCTCCACCAGGGGAAGCTCCTGGATTGAGCATCTACCCCCTGGTGGTCAGTCAACATCATAGCAACCAGTTGACAGGGTCGTTCAATTGTTAGGTCATTTAGGCTTTCATGTATATAACCATATATATCTTTTCTCAGGTTTATTATTGATCACATGTTATTTCCCTTATCCTTCCACATATTTAACAATAATTATAGAACTGCTACTATACTCCCTGTGCTGTAAATAGTAGGTGCTGAGGGAATCTTTGGAACAAAACAGAAAAAAGGCCCTTCCATTTTAGAGATCATACTACAAAAGAAGAGAGGGCAATAAAAAGGAAACATAGATATGCAATGGAATTTTAGTGCTCTGAGGAAAATAAAGGAAGGCAAAGGAATAAGAGAGTTACTGTTAGGTCTGATCAAATAATTGAATCAACACCCCTTCCCCTGGGAACTAACCTTTAGATCACTTCACAACTGACATTCCCTTTTGCTTAGCACTTGCTGAGACCACATTCCACTTGCTAAGACCATTATCTTCCCCTTAGAACCCACCTAGAATTCAGAATTTATCTGAATTCTCCACCCAGATAAAGCTTGCCTAGAGTCCTTTAAAATCTCTGACTCCCCATCCCTGGGTGCTGGTGCCATTTTGAGGCTCAGCCCATCTGATTTTCCAGAAGATCTAATAAATTCATAATTTTTTACCCCTTTGGTCTTGTGCATTCCTCCTTTGGAGACCCTAAAAGTGATAAGAACAGTGGAATTACTTTAGGGAAATCAAAGAAGCTCTCTGGGGAGGCAACATTTCTCAGGACTGGGATTAGTTATGGCAGTGATCAGCAAACTCATTAGTCAACAGAGCCAAATATCAACAGTACAACAATTGAAATTTCTTTTGAGAGTCAAATTTTTTAAACTTAAACTTCTTCTAATGCTAATTCTTCAAAATAGACTTGCTCAGGCCGTGGTATTTTGTGGAAGAGCCACACTCAAGGGGCGAAAGAGCCGCATGTGGCTCGCGAAACGTAGATTGCCAACCACTGAGTTATGGTATTTGTGTTTTATTGGTCTTTTAAAAGAATGAGCCCTCAGATTTATTTATCAACTCTACTGGCTTTATTCTTTACTAGAAGCCCGATGCGCGAAGAGTCGTACCAGAATGGCCTTCCTTTCCTTGGCTGCCAGCACCACTTTCGTCTAGTCCTGAGTTACCTTTCACCTTCCTAGCTGCTCAGAAGTGCAGAGCGGCTGGGGAGAGGGACAGCCACATATGCAGATTAACTGCCACTTTTGTTGGTTACTCACTCCTGATTGGCTGTGACCAAAATTACGGTCAACTAGCATGCTTTTCTATTATTAGGTAAGATCCATTCGTTTCTATTTGTATATGTATTTAATTCTTATTTTATGATTTCTCTTATTGGTTCAAAGTCCTGTAGCCAGTGCTTTAAAAGGCCAAAACTCAAAATGTCAGAGTTTGGAGTAAGAAAAGGTTTATTTATCAAGAGCATGATAAATAAATCCTTTCCTTTTCAAGATGGGAGTTCTCATTCTCAAATCCATCTTTAAATGTATAGGGTTCAGCTGAAGCCGGTTTGGCTCAGTGTAGAGTGTTGGTCTGCGGACTGAAAGGTCCCAGGTTTGATTCCGGTCAAGGGCATGTACGTTGGTTGCGGGCACATCCCCGGTAGGGGGTGTGCAAGAGGCAGCTGGTCGATGTTTCTCTCTCATCGACATTTCTAGCTCTCTATCTCTCTCTTTCTCTCTGTAAAAAAAAAAAAAAAAAAAAAAAAAAAAAAAAAAAAAAAAAAAGTATAGGGTTCAGTGATAGATCCTCCCTTCCCCCAACTGATGGACGGAGAATGACGTAAACTCCACCTGCAGCCCGAACATTTCTGAGCATCTAACCCAGCACCTTATATGGACTGTACATTGAACCACCAATCAGCACCTGCCAAATACCATAAGCCCCCAATTTCTAAGTCCCTAAGTGCCTAATCATGTGCCTTATATGAAACCACCAATCAGTGAGTGCCGAGTACCCTAAGCCCCATCCCTTCTCATTCCTCCCCTCAAAAGGCGTGTTCACCCTGCACATGTGCTCTCTTCCTGTGGGAGGCAGCCTGGCAGGGTCCTTCTCCTCTAATAAAGCCTGTGTCCTGCTCTCCGGCCTCTGTCTCATCTTTCATTCAGGCTTCTTTTAAGTCCGTGGACAGGAAAGTGGGAGAGGCTGTTTTTGTAAAAACTCAAGCCCCTAGCAGAATTTCTCTAATGGTTAGCATGTCTAAAGCAGGAACTATTAGCCTGAAGGCCATGGGAACAATTCAGCCTTGAACAAGATAGAGTCAGGGAGATTGAACATTTTTCCCGGTTACACTTCTAGAGAGGCTTTGAGGCATTCTGGTCAGGACATCTGACCAAAGGAGCTCAGTTCCATCCCGTGGCTGGGCTGGCAGGGAATGTTTCTCCTGTGCCTTGGCGAGAACACGTTTTCCGGCACTCCCTCCCTCAGAGGACTCGGCACTCCAACTTTAATGAGAAGATTTACAGGCCATTATTTAAATATGCTTGTTTTGTTTAAATGTGGTGGTGTTTTTATTTATTTCAGAGAGGAAGTAGAGGCCAGAGAGAAAGAGAAAATGATCAATGATGAGAGAGAACATCATTGATCATTGCCTCCTACATGCCCCCTTCAGGGGAACGAGCCCAAAACCTGGGCATGTGCCCTGTTGGGAAATTGAATCATGACCTCCTGGTTCATAGGTCGACACTCAACCATTGAGACACCCCAGCTGGTCTATAGGCTGGTTATTTAAATGGTTATTCTATTCTCTAGAATTTTCTTTTCCCTGTAAAGAAAAGATTTCTCTTCCCTGACAGTTTTGGGGGATCCAGCAGTCCAAAGATTGCAAGGAAGAAAGGAACATTCTTTTTCCCCCGAGGGTGGAATTGTTATGTGGTTGGCACTCACTGAACTAAAGCTTTTGCAGCTTTAATGAGCCAGAAGCAGGAATCTATCTACAAGAAAGTGCCTTTTCATGCTCATTTTAAATTCAGGATTCATACTACTAAAATTGAATGAAGAATAACTTTCTGTGTGGCAATTCATTGAAGTTCTGTCTCC